AGTCCTCCAAAGACAAGCTGCTCCAGCCTGGAAACAGGGGCCGTCTCTCTCCACTGGGTCTCCCACTGGACCAGAGCCTCCTCCAGGCTCTCCCACTCTGGTGTGGGCACCTCCCTGATGGGCTGTTGGTGGATCTCTGCATTCCCTCTGGATTCCCATGGGCTGTGGGCGGATCTCTGCATTCCCTGTGGATCCCCACGGGCTGTGGGTGGATCTCTGCATTCCCTGTGGATCCCCACGGGCTGTGGGTGGATCTCTGCATCCCCCATGGATCCTCATGGGCTGTGGGTGGATCTCTACATTCCCTGTGGATCCCCACAGGCTGTGGGTGGATCTCTGCATTCCCTGTGGATCCCCACGGGCTGTGGGTGGATCTCTGCATCCCCTGTGGATCCCCACGGGCTGTGGGTGGATCTCTGCATTCCCTGTGGATCCCCACGGGCTGTGGGTGGATCTCTGCTTCACCATGGTCTTCACCATGGCCTGCAGAGGAATCTTGGCTCCAAGGTCTGGAACAACTCCTCCTCCTCCTTCTCCACTGACTGCGGTGTCTCTCCATGTTGTTTCCTTACACGTTCTCACCTCCTCCTCTTCTGTGGATGTAATTAAAACTGTGTGCCCTAGTTTTTTTTGATTTCCTTCTTAAGTAAGTCATCACAGAGGCGTTACCAATCTCTCTCATTGGCCCAGCTCTGTCCATCATCCGAGCCATCAGAGATTGGCTCTGCTAGAAATGGTAGTAGCTTCCAGCAGCTCCTCACAGAAGCCACCTCTGTAGTTCCTCCCCCCACTCCACCAAAACCCAGGCTGGGCAAAACCAACAAAATTTTCCAACATTGAATAGATAATGGTATTGTTTTGATTAAAAAAATTAAAAATGCCTATGGGAAATGTTTCATGGTAAATTCATTGTAGGAATTGAAAAAGCTCGTTGAACAGAAAATTTTCTGCTAACTTTCTGGGGCAGGTTGTTAAACCTTTCTTGGTTTTGCTGTTGTATTATTTTAATAAAAACCAGTAATATCAACATATCTACCACATTTTTCTGTGTGACATGAAAAGCTCCCTTAACACTTGAATCAAGTAGCATCGCTACTGCTGGTAGTAGCCAGGCCTGCCAGAAAGCACATGTTTTTCTATTTAGCTTGCTAGGCGTATTTGCTTTTCCTCCAGCTCTTCTTTTCTGTGTGACATGCCAGCATTTCTTCGTTCCATCACATCCTTATGCTTGCTTTCAGTATCCATTTTTTTCTAGTGCCAAATTTTTTGCCAAATGTTCTGTTGCTTCTGTGGATGTGTTTGCAGCAGGCTCCCTCTGAGTGTCTGTGTTTCATATTCAAACAGCTCATCAGCAGGCATATCAATTCTCTTACTGGGAATTTGTTTTCTTCCTCAAAGAGATCTTTGCAGCTTGATGTTGACAGCTTTTGTCTTCCCCTGAGGCAATTTTCTTTAGGGTCTCTGGGTAGTCTGTTATCTGCTTTTGTAGAAATAAAAAGGCAAGCAACTATGCTAATTACTTCAAATATGGCTCACATACAAAAATTGCTACTAGTAGCAAAAACCACGATTTGACCCTTTTTTCTGGACATAATCATTCAGATTGTGTATGCATCTTTATATCTTGAAAGTATCTATGTTTCCTTCCAAAAAAAAAAAAGAAAAAGTGAAAATTGTAATATATACTATCTTTTGAACACTTTATAAATCTTGCAGCATCTGTTGCTTTGAAATACTCCTTTAACCAGGCTGAAAATGGAAATATTTCCGCTTATATTCCCTTCTCTTCTTCTGCACCTCCTACCAGACAAGTAATGAACACAGGCGTGGGAGGGAGGGAGGATCCTGAGGACACTGGGAGCCCTGGATCACTCTCTGTTCACAGATAGCAGAGAAAGCTCCATGACAGAGCGCGAGTGGGACTGGGGGAAGTGCAAGCAGTTTGACTTCCTTGCGACATTGGAGGAGGTGTGATGTGGCAGGTGGCAATGTAGCACTCTTGTGGAGACCAGTCAGGAGTAATGGGCTGGAAAATCCAAGGTCACCAGTGCAGTATCATCCTGGTGCTTACTGTTGGTGCTGCATAAAGCACTGGCTCAGATTTTATAAATCAAATTGGAGCAGGGGAAGAAAAAGGTGTAGGGGAGGACGTGATGCAGCACGGTGTTCTTTTTTGCAGAGACTTTTTTTAAGGTGGGATTTATTTTATTTTTATTTTAAAGGCAGATGCTCATTTGGTCTTTCATTTGACAGCTGGGCACTGTTATACATGGCAACTGTCAAATTTTCCTGAAGTCCTGCAGGCTTTGGTGCTGGATAATGTGGAATCCAGCCCAGCTTCTGTTAAACTGTTTAGAGCAGTTTTTAATTTTTTTCCTCCCAGCTTAAATTCAGAAACAAATGCCCTTTTTTTCAAGTGAGATTGAAAGGATAACCAAATATTAGGAGCAAAAAGTACCTCCCAGTGAGTTTGTTGATAACCAGCACTAGGTGACCCTGCTTGAGCAGGGGATTTGGACCAGATGACATCCAGATGTCCCATCTAACCTCTATCATTCTATGAAGTTCAAAATCCCAAAGGATTGAAGGAAATATTTTACTGACTAAATATTTTTCTTCCATTTGAGCACAGTGAACTGCTTACTCTTCACTTGCTCCCACACTCTTGTGTAGGCTCAAATGTCACTGCAGCATGATATGCTAGAGTGTTTCTGAAGACTGATGTAGGATGTCAGACTAAAAAGAGAGAAGTGATCTTTGCTGCAGAGCAGTATTTTTACTTTTCCAATTCAAGAGCTAATCATACAACATTTTCCAAATTTTACCTAACTATAATGGAAGTAATGTGCAAATTCTAGCATTAGATTATATAAACCATCATGCTATCTATTCAAATAGCTCAGAATATGGTTTTGTTTGGGTGGGATTTTTTGGTTTTTTTGGGGTTTTTTTCTGGTTTTTTTTTTAGACTGAGCAGTTTTATCTTCTTATAGGAAAACTTAAAAAGGAAAACAAGGATCAATTTTACAGTAGAGCTGTCAAAATAATTGTTTCTAGCTTGCACATGTGTGGATTTTGAGGGCCAAGGAGTACTGGTTTCAGACCAAATCTGATAAATCACACATCTGAATTCTCTGACAAATAAGAACTTCCTGTTCCTTTAGATTTTTAGTTGAAACTGATGTTCTTGTCAGCATCCCAGATGATACCAGTAATGAAACTGCCAACACTGTCAACTCCATTGGGCTAGCTGCCTGTTTCTCTCAAGGACTGGAGATGCAGGACAGCCCTGCTAGCAGACTCCCTGGGGCTAGTGCTCTGCAGCTTCAGGAGACCCTGGCTCTGAGGGAGACTTAATTATTCTGACTTAAAACAAAAGGTGTAGTTGTTTCTGGCCCTAGGGCAGGTACATCATGAATCTAGGTAAAAGATTAAACAAAGATGATATTGCCCAGTATGCTTAAAACATAATGTTTAGGGAATTATGTTTTCTTTGAAGAAACTTGACTTCATACAAATATCCCTGACCAGTTCTATCTTTCAAACCACATCAGACATATCTGGTAGGGACTGTGCAGCACAAGATATGTAATAGTTGTGTGCAACAAAAGAGGAGATAAAATGTCCAAGCCTATCAATAGGTGTATTTTTATCTTTCAAATCATATCCATTCAGCATGGTAGATATTTGAAGCACAGAGACCCTGTCTACAGTTTGAAGCTTATGCAATCGAAACATATTTTTTCTAGATTTGAGAGATCTTTTTGTCTTGACTTTTCATCATCTTCTGCTATGATTCAGGGAGGGCACCAGAGCTCACTACATAGTCTTTAATGTTTGTCTCTGTGGTTTTCCTTATTCTCACCTGAGTCTATGCACTCAGAAGTTGAGACAAAGTTTTCCCACAAACCATGTATTTGGATCAAAGGACACAAATTTTTTTAAACTTCATCCTCCTCCTGTATTATGCAGCCTACCAGCTTCACCACTTCCACTTTTGGAGTGTAGTCCATTTCTGTCCTTTACCCCCACATTCATGCTGTAGCCTTCATCATATCTCTTATCCTACTTTTCAGAATTCTCTTTCTTATATCCTGTACATTTCCAGGAACAAATTCCTACCAGCTACATTTTCCTGTTCTCCCATCTTCAGTACCTGAAAACATTATTTTAAGAGGCATTCTTTAAAGAAATTGAGAATAATATCCACTCTGGAAGTTAGCACAATTTTCTCGAGGAGGTTCATTTGCTATTGAATTCTGAGACACAGCATGCAGTTCACCTGTACTATCTGTGCATTGTCTTGGCTGAATGTGCCCTTCAACATAATTGTGTATATATAAAATTAAAAGGTAAGAGTTTTATTTCTTTAGCAGAAAATTTGAGGAGCTGAAACAGCTCATTTGGCATGACAGCATTCCATTGAGCCAAAACGTAATTTTCAGATTACATCTGCATCTTTGGTAAGTATTCCTGCAGCAGTAGGGTAGTGTTTTTAATGCAAAGTGCTGCATTTTAGTAGCCAATTGAGATGGCTATTAAGATATAGCATTGTACATTAACATCACTGCTGCTCAGATGGCAGCTGGTGGCTGCTCCTCAGCTGACAGCTTCCTGCATTCTGCTTCATAGCAGTGGTTTTCTTAGTAGCTCCTCTGATCTCCAGAAAGAGAAATAAAAATCATTATCTAGTTAATATTTCACACTGTGTTGGGCATACAGATCCCAGTGGGAGATCAGAGTGATGCTGAGTGTAGGGACTGCAAGGCAGAATAGGAAAGAGTGTGAGGGAGGAAATCGCTCTGTGAAAGGATCATTCCTCGGTTGTCATCTAGTAGACTCACTTCGGCTCAGGGAAAACTTGGTTCTCAAAACCTGAGACTTGGGATGCAGTGCTTAGGGGAAGACTGTGTAGCAAAAGTAGCTTGTGTAGCTAAGGGGTAGTAAGATACTGAATTTCATGAGACCCTGAGAAATGTGAGAAACTGCCAGGAAAAAAGGCCACATACTTTTCAGAATTATTTAAGAAAATCATTCAACTTTTACTCTTTACATTTAAAAGAAACTAAAGGACAGCAATCAATGACTACCATTTGTTTAGGCATTTCCTTGGCTATAGTTTTCTTTTCTGATGTGAAAAAAAGTTTTGGTTGCTGTCAGATTGCATCTAAACTCCCTTGCAAAAATGCAGAAATTAAGGAAAAGTGTCTGTGACATTGCAGGCTTACATCTTTCTGACAGTAGTTGTGAAATTATTTTCAGAATTAGGAAAAAAAAAAGAATCATTGTAATATACTTCTCTGCCCTTACTTTCTGTCCACAGCATATGAGGATTACGTCACAGATAGCCTAGGAAAAAGAAGGATGCTGTTTCAAAATGTTGTACAACAGAGGGAAAGATGTAGTAAGAAGCTCCCTTGAATGGCCTTACTGTATCCTTTGATCTCCACATTTTCCTTGAGAATGAGCTACAGCAATTATCTATGTTAGGTCTTAGTTTCTGAAAATTTGCTTGAAGCAGAGCTGTGGAGGCCACTGACTGAGATCAGTAGCTTTTCCTTTCAAATTCTGTTAAATAAAAGTGTTTATAAGTGTATTTCAAGTTAGAAAACTTTTAAAAATATGATAGATGAAATATGAAAAATTTTCAGTTACTGTTATGAGTTACTGTTTAAAAAGAAATTAATATCTATGAATACTCATAGCTTTCTTTACAGAGATACTGGAAATGCAGGATGGAAATACTGCCTGAAACCTCAACCTGTAAGTGTTGAGAGTTTTACTAAACATTTGTGAAGACAAAAACAAAAACAAGAAGCAAAGTAGAAATAAAAATATGAAAGCAATTTAAGCAAAAATATCAAATAGATTTAAGAGAAGGCAGACAGAAAAGCACCTGCATATTATTTAACCTGCTAAAGAATGTATTAGTCTTTAATTTTAGTCTTTAATTTTCTACATGTCTGTTCTTTGTATTGTAGTCGTAAATCCCACCAACTGTGAGCAATTGCAATTCTCTGGGTTATGAGACACCATGTGTAAGAATAAGGTCAAATTAGTATGATAAAATTTTATTTTGGCATTTTTCTTGTTAGGAATTGATTTATCAAGTACTGTCTTTTAAAAAAAAAATCACAAATATAATGATAAAAGTATTTCTTAACATGAAGGAATAATTCAGGCTGAAAAACATCTGAAACATGCAGGCTGAAAACAGTGTAAGCACCTTCTCTGTGGAAAATCAGATGTATTTTCTCATTCAGTATCCTCACTATTCTCAAAGAATTAGTGACTTGCAGTACCAGCAGGGAAAAGCCTAGCAGTGTGCAGTGAACAAAAGACTGGGAGAGGGAAAACAGTGTTAAATAGGAAAAATCTGGATATTTTAAAAATTATTCTCATGTAATTATGTTGCCTTCAGGAATTTTTTCTTTCTTACCAGGTAAAAAGAAATAAACCATTTACATTTGCTGTGTACTGTATTCTGTTGTTCCTAACTCAGGAGATCCAGTTTGAATTGTGTGTTTGTTTTTCTATCATGCTATATTTAAAACTTTGAGGAAACAGAGCAGAAATTCATCATTTTCATGCTGTTATGCACCACTAGAGGCCATCATATACCTCCTTAAATATTAGATAGTTATGCAAATTATTCTAGAGATGATGTGAATAGCTGATGAATGTAAGAATCTATATAAAAAAGGATGGGGAAACTTACTTGAGGGAAGGCTTTAACATAACTGATTATTGTGAGCACCATATGTTTTAAGGCTAGTTCTAATTGATTCAGAGCACCTCTGACCTCTTATACACTCCTAGGTAACCTTTGAATATGTCATGGAGTGTATGTGGCAAGTGAACTCTGGAGATGGCAGGTGTTTGCCCATGATCTACGCCAGTAAATACAGTCAAGCTTAGAATATAAAACAATAATCTTTTAGATTGATTTTTGTATGCTTGGATTAGAAATTAAATTATTTTTACCCCTTTATCTTCCCATCTAGAAAATGGAATATAATTCTTGATCCCGCACAGACTACGTATTGAGTCGTTAAGGAGCTAACATATATTTACTACTTTAAGTAACTGCCTGATACATAAAATAGACTGTGTTATACAGTTTTACTCTTTGGAACTGTGGAAACAAATGACTGAAATTATAGAGGAATTACAGGTAGCATGATTTTAACTGTGAAAAAAGTCAAATTAGCATTCATCTTATATAATCAGGACGTGCTATCAAGAGTAGTAACACGACAAGGTGGTAAAAAAATGAATTAATTTTACAATGGTTTTGGCTGACTTTCTGAAATGGCTGTGGTGTGACATGGACCTTATCCAGGAAATCTTTTCTACTGCCTTGGTTTTCAGTTTAACTCAAACTAACCATTCAAAGAAATATAGCTTATTTTACTTTCTTTTTGAATACTTGCTGATTTTATTTTTAATGTAATAGCTTATTAATATGTGAAAATCTTGCACGTGTTTTTGGGAACTAAATAATTAACAAGAAGTATTGGTTTATCTGAATCAGCTTGATATGCAGTATTTTCTCATATGCAGTATTTTCTCACTGAAACATTGAAAGAGATCAAGATAGATAGCAAATGTCAAGTACTCCTGTAGGACATCCAAACTACCGTTCTTATAATACAAAAAGTAATCTGCATGTTCTACACTATATTTAAGTATGTTTTTTTTTAATAAGAAATTTAAGTTTTTGGGTTTTTTTAAATAAGAAAAGGATATTCTGTCATGTTTAGGAAAAAAAAAAAGAGTATAGAGAAAGTGGTGCTATAGAAGTACATCTGTCACAATCAGTCCATGCTAATTTCTGGGCTGACATATTTTTGTTATACTTTGTTGTTTTTTTAGCTTTTTTTGGAAGGAGGGAAGAAGGGGAATTTGCTTCATAGTTCTTAGTAATTTTATGAAAATGACCTTGTGCTTCAAAATTATAATGGAAGACTTCTGTAAATTATTGCAATAATCTCAAGATATCCTGAGGTTATCAGCAAAAAGAAGTCATGCCCAAGAAAGCGCTACAGAATTTTCTTTATCCCCACTAGAACTGGGAAAAACATAGACCAACACAACAGCTTAATAGCTCAGTATGTGTAGCCCCTCAATAGATGAATAACACTGAATGTTTATTCAATGAATACGTAAAAGCTTAAGTGAGAGGGCTGTCACTTGTAAATAAAGTATAATGTCACTTCAAAAAGATAAAAGAAATCTCTCACTTTATATTTATATATTCATATATAAATATATATTTATATATTTCTATTATATTTATAATATAAATTTATATTTTATATATTTATATATAAATAGAAAGTATATATATATACTTTTATATTATATAAATATATTATTTATATAATAAATAAGATCATTTCAGAAGCACATTTTTCCTCAGAGGAAATAAAATTGCATTCAATTGCCTTACTCTTTACCATATTATTTTTCAAATATCTAAGATTTTCTTTGTTTTAAACAGGTTATGGATATTACCAAACTGAGGCACCATTTGGCTTCTCTTTCAGATCTTTACTATCACGAAAACATAACAATTGGGATTTTCTTCTCACACTTTGGAGCCCATATCAACAGGATTATTGAGAAGGCAAGTCTGTAAAAAAGGCTTGCTTCTCTCTACTTTGGGACAAGCAACACCATAAGGAACAGTAAGTGGCTTTTGAAGAAATCTACTTGATTGAGTCTTGAAAAATTTATATTTCTGCATTACCTGCATTTCATGGGCACCTGCTCTGTGCAGTCAGACCACCCAGACCAAATGGAAAAGAGAGTGTGGTGTGGACAACTGCCTTGGTCACGCTGTAAGTGCCCTAAAGCAAGGCTTGTTCTCAGGGCTTGTTTGGGCCAAAATGGTGCTTGTCTGGTCTGTAGGGCTTCTGCACACNCTAGAGGCCATCATATACCTCCTTAAATATTAGATAGTTATGCAAATTATTCTAGAGATGATGTGAATAGCTGATGAATGTAAGAATCTATATAAAAAAGGATGGGGAAACTTACTTGAGGGAAGGCTTTAACATAACTGATTATTGTGAGCACCATATGTTTTAAGGCTAGTTCTAATTGATTCAGAGCACCTCTGACCTCTTATACACTCCTAGGTAACCTTTGAATATGTCATGGAGTGTATGTGGCAAGTGAACTCTGGAGATGGCAGGTGTTTGCCCATGATCTACGCCAGTAAATACAGTCAAGCTTAGAATATAAAACAATAATCTTTTAGATTGATTTTTGGATGCTTGGATTAGAAATTAAATTATTTTTACCCCTTTATCTTCCCATCTAGAAAATGGAATATAATTCTTGATCCCGCACAGACTACGTATTGAGTCGTTAAGGAGCTAACATATATTTACTACTTTAAGTAACTGCCTGATACATAAAATAGACTGTGTTATACAGTTTTACTCTTTGGAACTGTGGAAACAAATGACTGAAATTATAGAGGAATTACAGGTAGCATGATTTTAACTGTGAAAAAAGTCAAATTAGCATTCATCTTATATAATCAGGACACGCTATCAAGAGTAGTAACACGACAAGGTGGTAAAAAAATGAATTAATTTTACAATGGATTTGGCTTACTTTCTGAAATGGCTGTGGTGTGACATGGACCTTATCCAGGAAATCTTTTCTACTGCCTTGGTTTTCAGTTTAACTCAAACTAACCATTCAAAGAAATATAGCTTATTTTACTTTCTTTTTGAATACTTGCTGATTTTATTTTTAATGTAATAGCTTATTAATATGTGAAAATCTTGCACGTGTTTTTGGGAACTAAATAATTAACAAGAAGTATTGGTTTATCTGAATCAGCTTGATATGCAGTATTTTCTCATTGAAACATTTAGAGAGATCAAGATAGATAGCAAATGTCAAGTACTCCTGTAGCACATCCAAACTACCTTTCTTATAATACAAAAAGTAGTCTGCATGTTCTACACTATATTTAAGTATGTTTTTTTTAATAAGAAATTTAAGTTTTTGGGGTTTTTTTTTGTTATATTTTGTTGTTTTTTTAGCTTTTTTTGGAGGGAGGGAAGGAGGGGAATTTGCTTCATAGTTCTTAGTAATTTTATGAAAATGACCTTGTGCTTCAAAATTATAATGGAGGACTTCTGCAAAATATTGCAATAATCTCAAGATATCCTGAGGTTATCAGCAAAAAGAAGTTATGCCCAAGAAAGCACTACAGAATTTTCTTTATCCCCACTAGAACTGGGAAAAACATAGACCAACACAACAGCTTAATAGCTCAGTATGTGTAGCCCCTCAATAGATGAATAACACTGAATGTTCATTCAATG